CATATTGCACCTGAGAAATATTTACCCTTTAAAAGCGAAGATGGAACTTCCTGCTTTGTTCAGCTTCCACAAAACTATTAGTTTTTCTTTTTGCAGTCAGTTGTACACATTGATTCTGAAAATACAATATAAATACTACATTTCTAAATCTCACGTCTTACTGTTAGTCATATTAACATTCTTTTTATTGTTTTCAGATGCTAGTATCCAAATGGAAATTAAATGTCACTAGAAATTTGACTATGGTCTTCAGATGTGGAGTGTCTGGAAAAATACTCAACAATCTTTACACTCCTTAATTTTGAATTATTTTTTTTGGAATATCACTATGCAATTCTTATACAATATTAAATTATTTCAGCAGTTTATAAATATACAGATAAATAAATGAATAAATAAATAAAATGGAGATTATTGTTTGGCATCAAAACTAAAGAATCCATAAATTTATTTACGTTATACTCGTACATTGCTCCTATGTCATTATGCAGCAAAAAGTTGTAATAAGTAACATTCATGGAAGCTAAATTTCATTCCATTTTTAATAACTAATGTAATTTTAAATATCTTTTTTTGGGTCTCTATTGCAAGCATTAATTAATCAATTATGCACTGTTTAAGAAATAACTTGAAAGAAGTAAAAATTATCCCAGCAGGCAGTTGTTAGAAAGTAAGCGGTAAGTACAGTAGTAGTGTTGCAACTAATCATTAGTCTGCGTTTGGCACCATTCTGGAGTTTGAAGAGGCTATGCATACCTGCATATATTCCAGCTCAAGTGTAGTGGTGACTAGCATTGACACATAGCAATAATCCATGGGCAGTAAGGATAACTGATAAAAACATTAATATCAGCTGAAATTATTTAGAAATTTCTTTAGGTGGCTGTAAGTTACACTTTTCTTCACATTATAAGAAATGAAATAACTCTACCAATAACATGTTTTATATGATATTACAGAAGAACTTTAAAAGAACGTGTTAAAAGAATGAGCTGTCGTAGAATCCCAAAAAAATGATTAACCCCTTATGGGGAGGCTGGTGAATAAATAAAATTTGGTCTAGATAACCGAGATTAACGGCCCTGGGGATCCGTTGCACTGACTGTGTGACACCCTCTGTCTGCTAAAGTTGGCACTGACTTCGCCGACAGGCGGCGATCACTCAGCCCGTATAATTCGCTTGCAGACTAAAGCCATGGAGTTTCTTTCTTTTTCTTTTTCTTTTTTTTATCTATAGGGCTCATATTACTACATAGATATTGTTACTGTTACACAGACCACATAAGGTGGGTAAATATGTTATTGGGAATGTCCAAACAAATGCAAAACTTTGCAAATTAAGATTATGAGATGTTCCTGTATCTCAGAGACTTGAATCAATTACCATATAGTTCATAAAATACTGGAGACAATTAATTTTTCAGTGAATATGAACATTTAATAGTACCACTGGAAAAATTTTCAAGTTATTTTGCAGAGTGTGAAATTATAAAAATACATTTATTTTGCAAATATAAGAAATTGTGTTTGGAGTTCTCATCCACTTCTACACCAGAGCCACTGTAACTTAACCTAAGATTTGATTATATGTGTTCTGCATTTCACATTATGCTCTCATTTGTTGGTTTGTAATTGAACTCAATAATTTATATATGTATACACAGTTTCCCAGAACAACTATATGGTGTACAAATTCACTGGTCAGTATGTTGAATTCTGTTTTTCAGCACATTCTTCAAGCCGTATGGTACATGTGCACACAAGTCAGTGAATGCACACTTTCATTAAAGTCTCATTTCATTACTACTGTAAATCAAAATATTTTGTACTGAATACTAAATTGATGTAATTGTATCACCAAAAAAATTAAATGTGAAAAAATGAGAGGAATATCCTGCAAGAAAATCAAACATTAAGAACAGATATTTCAGCTATATTGTTAACTTTTATTGCTCTTCACTGAAGAGAAAATTAGAGTATTGATAAAAGCCCTTGATTTAACCTTAAGTCTCTCTCTGTGCTGGCACTTGTTCTAGTAAGGCCTTCTGACTTTTCTATTTCCATAATATATACATATTAGCTTACCAGGCATTTTATTTAAGTAAATAAATTTAAATAACAATAAATTAGTTGGAAGTACCATCTGAAGCTGCAGTCATCCTTAGAAAGCTTCCTGAATTACATTAACTCAATCATTAAACATTAAGTTAAACTTCCTTACAACATCATAGATATTTCTGCATACAACAGTACATTATCTCAGTTTCTAATTATTCAGTGTTTAAAATTAAAATGTATTGTCTTCTTGTATATTGTCACAGCCTGAAATTAATCACTTTCTAAATGCTAAAAATATGTATCTGCGCATAGCCTTATTATATAAATTTGGGCACAATTCAGGCATCCATTAGTATATTACAGCAATTCATAATTTCTTGATTTTTTAAATGTGGGGTTTTATGTAGTTTGTCGTTACTTCTATGACAACCCACTTCTTCGGAACAGTTTGTTGGTCCTGAAAAGGACCGTGGTTGCTGAGATGTTTGATTGGTGAGGTAGCGCGGCGCACGCCGGTAGGGAGAGGTTAGTTGCGGTGGTTTGACTGGCCACAGTGCGGCCGTTGCTGGAGGTTGCTTGATCGCCGTGGGGCAGGTGAGTTGAAGTTGCATGGTCGCGCAGCGCGGTCGTAGGAGTGATGAGGCAGTGGCTACGCCAGATGCCCAGTGGGTCAGACAGGGACACGACAACCGGCGAGTCCAGGCGAGGTGCCCCAGTGCGTTGGGTGTGAAAGCCAGAGGGCCGAGGCAGTCGTGCCTGGTGCAGCCAGCTGATGCCTCCGAAGACCGAGCACTGGTGACGAAGCCTGCTGGCTGGTGTTGCTTGAGTGTGGCTTGATCGTAGACTGAAGTCAGACTGATGATGCCGGTTTGTGGCTGCTCCTTTTTATACACTGCTTGGTGGGCGGAGCGAAACTTGAAATTGAGGAAGAAGAATTTGCAGGACGCTGATTGGCTAGCGCGCGTGATGATGTAGATGTGGGGCTAGCAGTGAGTGCAGTATAAATGCGAACGTTTGGAGCAATTTGATTGGTTAGGGCGCGTGATGGTGAAAAGTGATGTGAAGAGTGTGTGTTGCAGAAAATGCGTGATAATGTGGGATGTTCCCATAGAAAGTTAAAATATTTGGTGATAGTCATGTTGTATGACTTTTGGCCACACAAAACAAATCAAACATCCAGTTGTTTATTGCAGAATTTATGATTTTTTATTGTTTAAAGTCTAAAATCCCTAAACATATAACATCTAGTATCTGAGGTATTTGCAGGAGCGGTTATGAAAAATTCTGGCCTGGGATGTAATTCTATGTGGTCTGTTGCGAGTCAACCATCATGTTACCTCCATCATCAGGGTGGAAGAGTAAGCCAAGCAAGAAACCAGAATGAAACAGGCATCAAGCAAAATTATTTAACCCTGAAGATGGAGGTAACATTTTCCTCTGAATCGTTGGTTGACTTTTAATAGCCTGCATGGCTTTATATTCAAAAACAGAGAATTCTTTATTGATTATATATTTGGGCACACAAAATAAGCATCTAGTAATACATTCATGTCATTAATTATTACTGAGATTTTAAAAGTCTGAAGTATCTGATCATATTTTACCTATTTTTACACACAGAATAATCATCCACAGAATATTAACTCAGTTAAAATTAGGGATAAGGATACTTGACCTTGCTGGTATTAAAATTGCTTGTTGAATAATTTATTGGTGTTGACACAATTTCACTTCATTATTATATGTTTTACAGTTTTGTGAAGAGTATATATTAGTCTTCTGTACCTCTCCATTAATGAATTTTCGTCTAAAAATCTATAAATTATATTACAAAATGGCTCATAATATCAGTAACTTCTACTTTTCTATTTCAGTACAAGAGAACCATTCAAGTTGTGCGAAGAAGAGGATATGCATATATGAGGGGGTACCCAAAAGAAACCAAACTTATTTCTTTTTAAACTTATTTATTCAAATTTTAAGCACAAACCTTCCTTCCCCTTCAAAATACTCTCCACTTACACTAATACACTTGTCTAGTCTTTTATTTCATTTTTCAAAACATTGTCTAAATTCATCTTTTGAGATGCTTGACAGCGCCTCGGTCGTTTTTTCCTTTCATGTCTCTTTTCATTCGAGGAAACAAAAAAAAAAGTCGCACGGGGCAAGGTCGGGTGAGTATGGAGGGTGAAGAACAGAACTCATACCATTTTTGGTCAAGAATTGTCGTACAGACAGGGCTGTGTGAGCAGAGGCATTGTCATGATGGAAAAACCAGTCACCCGACTGCCACAAATCTGGCCGCTGAGCTCCAAGTCACTTCCAACAGCTCCACAATTTCTTCAGTGGTCCATCGTCGATCTTCTTTGATGATTTCACGAATTTTTTCAACATTTTCATGTGTTCGGGCCGTGGAAGGACGACCAGAACGAGGTTTGTCATCAATTGACATTTCACCATTTTTGAAACGGGAAAACCACTCAAACACTTGAGTTTTCCCCATAGCATCGTCCTTGTACGCCGTTTTTAACATTTCAAGAGTTTCTGTTCCACTTTTCCCGAGCAAAAAGCAGAATTTCACCGCCGCATGCTGTTCACGAAAATCAGCCATTGCAAAAACGACAATCAAACAAAACAGTTGTCACTATATACTCTGCCGAAACTAGTCCCTACCGTCTGAAACAACGGTAGTCGGCTTATCGACTCAGGAATGTTAGCTCTATGCGCTCATAGCGGCAAAATGCGGTACTACAAAAGCTCTGCCCACAAAAAAAATAGTTCGGTTTCTTTTGGGTACCCCATCGTATACTTCATAAATAAAGTTAATAGAAAAATACATAATCAGCCATTTGCATATGATTCATGAAATTAGTGAATGAATTATTCAGATTCATTATCAGGGGAAATCACAAATATGTACATGAATGACATCAATGTTTCAGGCCTAGAAGGTGGTCCCAGGGTTGGTCAAGGGGGTGAGGAACTTGTCACATTAGAGGCTGAAATCACTGAGCTACAAAGGGAGAATGCTCGTGTTGAGTCCCAAATGCTGAAGCTGCACACAGACATCACAGCTATGGAAGCACATCTTAGGCATGGTGAAAAAGTGAGTATACATTAAAAAATTAAGTTCTTTATTTCTTAATTTTTTATAGTGTTTCTTAGACTTGCTAATATGGCCCTCAAGTTCATATTTATCGATATATTACTGCACTGATGAGGGACAGTAGCAATTGTAAATGACAGATCCATCCTCTCATCAGAGAGGATGTTGCATAAGGACCATGACCACAAGGGTTCAGTTGAAGAAAAAATCTCTGGTCATGATCCTCAAAGGGCTTGGAGCCAAGACAGACTGATTAGTGGTAAATGGCCTGTCATAAAGTAATTCTGACTCTGACTAATTTTACTAACAGGTCTGTCAGTACAGCCTCCCAGTTTGACTAACAGTGACATGTTAAAAATCATCACTGTAGTTCAACAGATCACCACAGAGCTTAATGAAGCAGTGTCAGAAAAAGATAAAATAATGGTCATTACAAAACTGGTACTGAACTTAATGAAATAAAATGGCGGTTAGATTTCATAGGTTTCTCAGAGGCATAGCGTTAAATGTAAATGGCATTTGGAGGTGGCGCTATGAGCTTAGTAAGTAGCTACAAGGATTGTTTATAGATGTGGCTCTACTCTCAGAGATCATCTCAAACTCCATGGGTGGTTTTTCATTTCAAATTACCACTTTTATCAGACTGACCACTTTCCCAGGAAGAAAAGGCATTCCCTATATCCATGTAGACCTATGCTGTATGTGCAATATATACACGTGAAAAAGGTGAAGCCTATTCATAAGGGACAAACCTATCCTCTTGCCAGAGAGGATGTTACATAAGGACTATGACCAGAAGAGTTCAGTTGCAAAAAAAAACCCTGGTTATGAGTCTCAAGGGGCTTGGCACCAGGAAGAAATGACTGGTGGTAAACTGACAGTCATAAAGTAACTATGATTCTGACTCTGACTCTGAGTTAGTCAGTCATGAATCTCGAAATGTGGTAGACCACCAGTCATAAAGTAACTCTGACTCTGAGTTAGTCTGTCATGAGTATTGAGTCACAATAAGATGTCATAGATCAGAGACAGCAAGCTACCAATCTAGATTCTTGAGATGCATTGTTAGATGCCTCTACCAAACAGTGACTAGTGAAGACAGAGAAGCCCACATTGTTAGACTAGACTCTTCCCATGAGGTAGATTTATTTATATATTTTGTGGTCCAAAGCAGACTTTCAATATGTCAAGTTTAGCACTGTATTAAATATTTATGTAGGGGTGGTGGGGCAGTGTCTCTTTTCCCCAATCACTCAGACTACTACATAATCTCTTACATGTCCCCAGTGTTACTCAGGCTCTGTAAAGGCCTCAACCTGAGCTAGAGCAAAAAGCTTCCACATTTATTATTATTATTATTATTATTATTATTGTTGTTGTTGTTGTTGTTGTTGTTGTTGTTGTTGTTGTTGTTGTTATCATTATCATTATTATTTATTTCATCCATAGCTGTAGAGAATTACAATTGGACATGTCAAACATCAACATCATCACATCAAAAATAACATAAGTAAAAAAAAATAACATTCACACAGTGATTCACGACTACAATACACAACAAATAACTCTTTCTTCTTAAAAACATTAAAATTAAAATTTAGTCCCTCTTAATATCATTCGACTCTGCCCCTGTGGAGGGAAAGGTCATAGTTTGTCATTGATATAATATCAATGCAGGGCATACCAGCCATTCTATGTCCTTCACTGACAGGGACAGCAGTTCCCCTCCACTGGTCTGAGTTGGACCCACAACCAAACTCTAGCTGAGCCCTCAATTTCCTTGAAGACAGGCTTTCTCTATCTGATCATCTTTAGTGGTCAGACGATATTGTAACGTGTTTACGTTACAGAAGACGCCGTAGAGATGGTCAATTGGTTTATTTAACAATCTACAACTAACGGCTATAATTAATGATCACGATATTACGGGTTTCCACCGTTTACGAACCCTACAACACAATCTCTTAACACTGTCTTCACTTGTCTTCACGTACTGATTACGCGGGAGCTATACAAGTCTCCCTGAAATACACACTCCGAGTATAACTGTACTACAGCACTCACTAAGTATCGAAAGCACACAATAAGTCTTCCGCTCGCTGACTTCTTAGTTATCGCACACTCGCAGGCTGCTATGTTTCAACTGCTGATCACACTGCTGTGGGTCCGCTTATATAGCCTTGCGCTGTTGCTAGTGTGACGTGGCGGATAGCATAGGACGCTGTTGCTAGCGTGACGTCACCGCTGTTGATTAGCATTGCGTAGTTGCCAGGTTACGGGGCTCGGCTATCTTCGGCTCCGCTCGGCTCTCTTCGGCTCCGCTCGTGACGTCACCGCGCGTTGCGCATTGCGGGGTGATTACTCGCCTATTACGGGAGCGTTACATTACCGCTGAGGGGTGGGAGGGGAGCGCTGACTCACCCGCCGCGTCACTGCTGGTGTGGGGGGGG